GCCATATGCTATGTCTTTTGTGCATTTGGTGAGTAGTGGAGCAGGCCCCACTGGACGTATTCGTAAGAAAACAAAAACAAAAAAACGAGAGAGCAGAATGAATCTTCTGCTGAAACATGGAACCATACACTGCCATATGCTATGTCTTTTGTGCATTTGGTGAGTAGTGGAGCAGGCCCCACTGGACGTATTCGTAAGAAAACAAAAACAAAAAAACGTGAGAGCCACGGGCATCTTCATCCTAACCCATAACTGCCGACATGCGAACCTGAACGCCAATCTTCAGGATATATTGGTGGTCGGCTGGCAATAGAACATCAAATTTGTGACTTCTGTGAATCTTCAAGGGGCATGTCGTTATTAGGTGACTACCCCTACTTGCGAACTGACCCCACTACTGTGTGGGATTTGCAGAAGGCAGCGGGAAGGACATCTCTCATACCCCGCCTAAAACAAAAGTTGGAATGAGCCCTATTTTGTTCCTCGCCATTCGAAACTTTTTGAGGAAGGGCCTGCGCAAATCGAATTTTCAGCAGCCCTTACCCAAAAGAAAAGTTCGGGCCGTGGGCGCGGCCGGTTTGTGAACTTGCGCGGTGAGTTTAACATTTTTGCCGAGTTGGGGGCCCTAAGAAATTAGAAAACCCCTACTTTTTTTGTTTTTTTTTTTGGACCTAATTTTTCAAGTGCGCTGCACTTCGGTGCGCTGTGCGGTGTGCGGCGCGACGTGCGCAAACCGTGCGCAAACCGGCGCACCGACGTGCGCCGCAACTATGACTAGCGGTGATGTTACATCAACTTACATGCAAATACTTCTAGCCTATCTCGCCATCCCAGGGGCAAAAAACGTAAGTCTTGGGGTCTGAGCAATACAGGACATAAGACGTTATTGTACATCGTATGCATGCTATTCGGAGCTTATCACGGAGAAACAGCAGAATGTCCTTTGATGCCAACTTCCTCTATGCCTCTCAGTGCTGAGCACAGAGTCCGTGGATCTGTCTTGTGGACCAAGCAAAGTTCTAGCTGGAAGTAAGTGAAGTAGTCTCTGATGCACATTCTTCCGTGGAAGTTATATAAACCTATGAGCCAGCATGCTGCATTGTGGGTACAGTGACACAAGGTCAAGTTGGAGAGGAGATACATTGTGCTGAGTGGGAATGCAGTAGGGAGGAAGCAAATGGCCTGAAGACAGATGAAAGTTGAAAACACTAGATGTTGTGCCTGTATAGTGGTGGCACGAGGATGTACAGAGGGATGGAATACGCTTCCTGGAAGAAAGTATGTATAGTGGAGGCACAAGCATGTACAGAGGGTTTGAATACGCTTCCTTGAAAAAACATGACTGACTTGAGCAACTGCTTTGATGCTTGGATTTGTGTTTGGTAGAGCCCCACAGGCACAGAGGGAGTACGAGAGCAGGGCAGCAGTGAATACGGTAGTGCTACATCCCAATCAAGTAAGTTATCTCAGCTCACCAGTTTTTCAATGTAGGCTGCCTGATGAACCTGGGCTTGCAGTTGTTGTGGCACTAAGTGGTGAGGGCGGGCTATTGAGAACCACTGGTTTACGTTTTATATAAGCCGAGCCAGAAATGAACTTACATAATCTTACCTCTTAAGCGGCATTGGCTGCGGGGGCGGGGTCGTGGTCCGCTGCGCGTCGGAAGTGGGCATGAAATTGGCCATAGGCGATTGGATCGACAGTGCGAGCAGTGGAGATCGAAGCAGAGGCCGGATTTTACTGGAATGTTCATAGAGCGCCAGTAAACTTCGTGTGAAACGGTTTTCACCTTCATGGTAGCAGATGCAGATCCCAGGGCTCGATCCCTAGACCTGCCCCGAACCCGTGTACAGTACAGTTTGCCCCATCTAGGTTTGAACCTGTGACCTGCCCCTAAAGTTGTCTGTTTTAGGCTGTTGTACCTACGAGGGTTGAGTAGGTTCGAGCTGCTTACCTGTATGGTAGGAGTCGTAGCTTATGTCTGGTTGTAGCTGCTGAAGGTCTGAAGGGTCAACTTTAGTCGTAGCTGCTACAGTACCGAAAGGGCAAGTAGGAAGGTCTAGAGTCTTCTAGGACTGCCCCTTCGAGAGTCTTGGAAGCAGTCCGTAGGCAAGTGGGCAAGTGGGCAGACTTACCAGATCCAGTCAGCGGTACCCAGTCCCAGTCGCACCTTGTCAAGTCAGCAAGTACCATGTGGGACTGTGTGCACCCTAGGCCCAGTGGAAAGGAGCAGACCAGTGACCAGCCGAAGTATAAATCAAGAGGCGGCATCCAGTTATTTATTCATTTAGACTGTGAGCCGTGTGGAAGCGCTGCCTGAGCGACTTGTGCGAGGAGGTCTGCAAGTACCCGAGGGAGAAGTGGGCTGAGAGGGAGACAAAGCGGCCATAGCCGCTAGTTAGTGTTAGAAGTAGAATGCAGCCATAGCGGCTACAGGTTAGAGATAGGCTACAGCGTGTTTGTGTATGAGTGTGCAGTGAGTTGTGTGCGTGTGTGGGACGTGTAGGGAGATCCAGAGTAGCGTGCGTGTGAACAGTTGCTGAGGATACAGCGTGGAAGGGCATTGTGAGGGCGCACAGGTGCCATAGCCATTTGAAGCAAGTTGAATCTGAACTGTGTTGGTGCCATAGCCATTCGAAGCAAGTTGAATGTGAACTGTGTTCTTGGCCACGATATCTGTGAGCTTTGTGTGGGTGCTCGTCGCCAGTGCGTAGCCATCTGTTTTCATGCATGCTGAGTAAGAAAGTAGACAGTTTGATTGCGTTGGTATCAGAGCTGGTTCCCGCTGTTCCACCCGCCATCGTCGTCGTCAAGAGGAAGAAGGAGCCGCCATAGCTGCACTACTGCAGGAGAGCGCCGTGCACCTGCACAAACAACGACGACGACGAAGAAAAGAGAGAGAGAGAGAAAGAGAGAGAGAGAGAGAGAGAGAGAGAGAGAGAGAGAGGAGCGATGCAAGATTGGTTGTTGTGGCTCAAGGAAGAAGGTGGCGGTCATAGCCGTCGAGCTCAGACACGGAGAGGAAGACGAAGGAGGAGACTAGAAGTGAGCGAGAAGATAAAGTTGGAAGGAAGAAAGAAAGTGAAAGGGGAAGAAGAGACGAAGGAGGAAAAAGAAGCCATAGCCGGGGGTGAAGGTGAAGAGACGATGGGGGAGAGAGAAGCCATAGCTAAGGGTGAAGGTGAAGAGACGAAGGGGGAGAGAGAAGCCATAGCTAAGGGTGAAGGTGAAGAGAGGAGGAAGGTGAAGGTTGGTGAAGGAGAAGGGGTCGACAGACATAGCCGAGCTTACTGACGTTGATTGGGGCGTTGACCAAGGTGTTGACCGAGGTGTTGACTGGGGTGTTGACCGAGGTGTTGATTGGCATTGACCAAGGCATTGACCGACTTTGACCGGAGCTGTTGACCTCGAATTTGACCAAGCCGGAGTTGGTATAATCTCGCCAAGCCTCCAGCCTATCCCCTCGCCTTTTGGATGTGCACTCACCCCATGGCACTTGCCGAGTCTGTTTGTCTCTTCTTTCTGCATTGAGTCTCTTTTGTCCAGGTGATAGGAACTCCGTGTATGTGGTCATAGAGCTGTGTTGTCCAAACCCACACGGGATGAGTAGGGTTGTTGTCCATGTTTGACGACTGGCACGTCCCGGAGGCCTAACCCTCCTAAGGACCGGTGCAGACCAGCGGGCTGTTGAGTGTGTCATGGTTGGCCCAAAATCCGAGTTGTGGGCTGCACAACCGGCTGTCTAAGTCTTGAGAGGATCGCATCGTCCTGTTTGCAACGTTAAACAATTCCTGAGGAGTTATGGGGGATCTCCTTAAATGCCTCCTGATCAGCAGTGAAGTCCTGCAGTGACAGCCATAGCCATAGTTCTAGGCTAGAGACCCTAGTTGACAGGGTTCTGACCGGAGTGCAAGCCAGGTGGGTTGACCGCAGGTGCAGGGCATCGGGGTCGAGGATTGTAAAGGACAATGGTGGAGAAAGCTTCCGTCGGCTGTGGTAACCTGGATGGATCGAAGGAGGTCCTCTGGTCCTTAGAGAGTCAATTAGATAGTTAGTCAGTCAGCGGGTGGAAGTCTAAGTGGTGAGGAGTGGAACTGTCACTTAGTTGTGCACCTTTCACCATGGTGGACGTGCGTAGTGGTACAAGCACCCTTCACCAGGATATAGCCTTACGGTCCATACGTCTGGGCTTTAGAGAGTTTGCACGGGAGATGATGATGCATGTAGGCAGAGAGATGAACACACACACACACAAACACACAAACACACACTTGCGCACGTGTGTGTGTAGTAGTGTATGTTTCGATGTTCTAGCGGAAGGTTCATTCAATTTTGCTCATCCTATCGATGGAAGTAGTGTGAGGCCAGTCGCAGCATTGGAGACTTACCTGTTGTCCAGTGGCGATTTCAGCCCACAACTCAGCCGTTCCGGCCTACTGTGCCACACCGAGCAGCCCGCCGGTCTGTACCGGTCCTTGGAGGGGTTCGTATCCTTCGGGACAGTCGAGTCGTCAGACACAGATCATCAGCCTTACTAGGTCCGGTAGGGGAGTGGCTCAACCAGGCCTCAACACTTAAAGACGGCCTTCGTTTCAGCCTACAGCTCGGAGTTCAGACCCTCCACACTGRACTCAGTAGACCTGCCGGACAGTACCGGTCATTGGGCTAGACGAGTTGTTTAACGAGCACTCGCCGCTCATGCCCAGGTCTCCAAGTGTCAGAGTAGAGCCTAGGTCCTACTAAGCCCGTGCAGGTTTGGCAGCAAGGCCCTATCCTTCATCCA